TAATTATGTCTATTTTATCCGTTGTCTGGACCAGAGGATTTGTTTACAAGTAAAACATCTTTTGGAAACAGGAATTAGGAAAAACTTTCTTCAGATATTCTGTCTTGAGTATTTGATTTAAAAAATAGAACATAAAAGAGACATATAAATTTACCTAAAGGTGAAGAGCTTGCACCATTATAATTTAAACTGTTAGTTACAATTACAAATGATCAGAATACCAATTTAAATGTAATAACTAGGAAAGAAAATTACTTACTTGGCTCTTATACCTTATGTCTGCTTTAGTCATAATCAGAGATACAGAATCATGAGTAATATATAATAAAAGACTATGAAAGGGTTAGATATGTGTAGCCAGAGTGCATGGCTCAGTCTTTGGAAAAATCATTGTCTTTGCAAATAAATTGAGCCTGAACTTCCTGAACATTGGCTAAGCTAACATAAAGGAAAAAAAAAGTTTTGAAGATGCCAGTACACAGACAAACTGTGACTTAGAAATTATGGAGATACCAAGAAGAATAATTATAACAGTAAAGGAAAGGTGAATGTCCTTCAACTTCTTGAATGTCATTTGGGAGATTACCTCCAGATGCAGTAGTGTGATTTAAGACCATGTACCCATGTACTTAGCCCAAGGTAGATAAAGCTGAAAGTGAAAGGAGGAGGAGTTGTTAGTTAACAATAAGATGAGCTGGCAGGTTGGTGACAGCAAGTGGCTCTCCTAGTGTCTGAAATCCTGAACCCCATTGGCAAGCAAGAGATGGGGTTGTTGCATGGTTGTAGCATGCCTATCTTGAAAGTGTTACATGACTTCTTTTATTCCTATCTCAGAGGCAGAGAAATACAGAGAAGTCTGTAAGTTAGTTCTGGTAATTATGCCTCCAATATGGAAGCAGAGATGACATAAAGCAGACAAAAGTAACAATTATCAATTTGGTACCCATGCACACTTTCTTTAACCATCGTTACATTCAAATAAGGAAAATAGAGGAGTTACAGTTCCTGCTAATATTGTACAACCATTATTCATTCAGCAACAAGCTTGCATAGCCTCTACCCTAAGGAGAATACAAAGTTCTTCTCTCACCTCTTCTAGTGGAGCCCATACTTCCATTGGTATCCTGTAGTTTACTGGGATCTAATAAGAGTTAAGACTGTCATTAGAATATTTTGTTCTGCTATATACTGGCAAATGGGAAGAGTGAATAATGATTAAAACTCACAAATGTAGCCAAATGAAAGTGAGAAAGAAATTCCATAATAATTGTGTCAAGTTTTTGTCACTATGACAAATGAAAAATTTGTTAGAAGGAAGAAAGATTTTGAGTCATGCTATCTTATACTTCAGTCCATAATTTTCTTTTAGTCCCAGATGTCTTAAAGTTAAGTGGGAATAAAGGTTTCTCTTTCAGAAGAATGACATTGCTATTGGCCACAGTCTACACTACCTTCATTAGACTGCCCAACAACCAAGCACTCAAAATTGCTGTATAATAATGTGTTTACGTCAACCTGTTTCCATGGTTTCTGTTTCTCTGGGCTGTGCTTCATTGGTGCTCCCCTAAGGAGTCCATGCTTCATGTAAATTTTCTTTTACTGTTTTCTTAAATCTTAAACCTTTCAAGGTGTGTGTGTGTGTGTGTGTGTGTGTGTGTGTGTGTGTGTGTTATAAATACCTTCATTATTCATCTTACTTTCATCTACAGATGTTCCAGGCTGTGATTTACCAAACTTTAGTTCAAAATAGTTTCTAATGCCTGCTGTGGGACAATGGTCTTTATCCTGTCACTTGTATTTTAAATGAACACTGATTGGCCAGTAGCCAGGCAAGAAGTATAGGTGGGGTGACCAGGCAGCAAGTAGAGGTGGGATGACAAGATTTATGAGAAGAGGAAAGAGTCACCCAGACACAGAGGAAGTCAGACACAGAGCAAGCAAGATGTGACTGCCTCGCCAAAAAAGGTACCAAGCCACGTGACTAACACAGACAAGAATTATGGGCTAATATAAGTTATAAGAGTTAATAAGTAAAGCCTGAGCTAATGGGCCAGCCAGCATTTATTTAAAGTAAATGACATGGTACAGAGCATTGTCCCACAGCAAATGCCCCTGGGTTACTTGAAAATGTGTTATTTAATTTCCAAATACTTGGTCATATTTTGCCATTCGTCATGCTTGTGACAGATTTCTACACTATTTTGTGGCCAGCAAACACAAGGCTTGAAAATTCAATCTCTTCAGGTTCACTGGTGTATTTTAGACTGTCTGAGTGTATGGTCTGTCTAAGTGAGCATTGCTTATACACTGGTAAAAAAAAAAGCACATTGCATTGGTGAGTGTAATGATCAGTAGAGAAGTCAATTTGGTCTAATTGATTGCTCTAATCTAGTGTCAGTTTTTATCTTGTCAGATTAGCTACTTGGAAGTGTGTACTGTAATCTTTAACTGTGATTGTAGATTTATCTTATTTTAATTTTCTCTACTTTTTCTTCATGCATTTTATGATCATTTTATTAAGGGAATAGACAGAGACTATCCTCTCTTCTTAACCAAGGACTCTTTACTCATTGTAAAATGAGTCCTTCATCTCAGAATACTACTCGTTTTGATTTAACAGCTAATCTTTTAGTCCCAGATATCTTAAAGGTGAAGAGGAAAGAAAACACCTCTGTATCAGAAGAATGGCATGGCAATTACCTGCAATCAATACTACCTTCATTAGACTACCTAACTTCCACCCATTTAAAACTGCTGGATACTAATGTGTCTAGGTCGAGCTGTTCCCATGTTTTCAGTCTACTGTTTCTTCGATGGTGTGTCATCTCATTTCTTTCTAGACCAAACGATGTTGGGGTGTTGCTGTCTATTCTCCATACTACATTATCATTGGTGCTTATCTGAAGTCACTGAATCTTCACAGTTCTGCTTGAAATAGATAAGTTTGTTTCATTTTTTAAGTGAAGAATTAACATTTGAAACTAATATTTTATGTGTCCTTTTTTGTTTTGTTTTGTTTTTCATTTCAACAAAGTCACTCTCTTCATATCCTACTGGAGCTCCCCTTGATTGGATGCTCACTGACAGCAAAGATGTGTCTACATAGGTGACGACTATGGTAGGGGCACAGTGAGAGGGCACTGCATCTGAATTGTAAGAGCAGGTGTAGACTTCTTCTCTAAGAAGAAATATACAGGCAAACACTTTGCTAATGATTTCTTTGTTCTAAGTTAAACCAGGGGTGTGCTTGGGTTAGAGAGGTGAGGAAGAAATGGGGGAGAGATATGGGAGAGTAAGGGGAAGAAAATGGGAAGGACATCTCAGAACCAAGAACCATCTGGCCAAAAAGATATGACTGAATTTCAAATTGATTTCCTTTATTCTGGTTCTCTGAAAAAAATGCTAATGATGAAATGACGAGGAGGGTAGAGTTTTCTCTGGTTTCCAGGATTCAACAAAACACACTTTAGAGATCCAGTCTCTTTTGACTATGCTTCAGGAGACGGTGACAGCAGGGCTGCTTGCAGTTTATGCTTTAATACTCAAGTTGTAATGACCTCTAATTTAATTGTTTTTCTACGTGATCATTTTTTTTTCTAAAGAAAATTGCCTTTCAATTATGCATGGCCTATTTTTCATTAGGTTAGGACTCAACACAGCACAGATTAGCTTAGAAACATGAGGTTCTCTAGACAGAACACATGGATTTGCTTCAGAGCGTTTATCCTGCACTGACCGCCAGAGGGCGACATTACACCGGCTCGAGGCTTCCTCCATTTCTGCAGTTGAGCCCCATTTTCAACTCAGTTGCTCCCTGATTCTGACTGAGTCCCTAGACCATTTGATAAGTGAAGAATTGAAGACAGTCAGAGACAGAAAGTTCTCAGGACTAGGATCTCATCTGCAGTACTTTTTATTGCTTGTTTCTTTCTTTCTTTCTTCCTTTATTTATTTAATTATATATAAAAATTTCCACTTCCTCCCCTCCTCCCAATACCCTCCCACTCCCCCCACTCCCACTTCTCCTCCCTCTCCAGTCCTAAGAGCAGTCAGGGTTTCCTGCCCTGTGGGAAGTTCAAGTTCCTCCCCTCGCCCTCCAGGTCTAGGAAGGTGAGCATTCAAACAGACTAGGATCCCAAAAAACCAGTACATGCAGAAGTAACAAGTCCCAGTGCCATAATCAATGGCTTCTCAGTCAGCCCCCATGTCAGCCACATTCAGAGAATCCGGTTTGCTCACATGCTCGTTCAGTCCCAGTCCAGCTGGTCTTGGTGAGCTCTCATTAGATCAGACCCCTTGTATCAGAGGGTGAACACACCCTTCGCGGTCCTTTGCATTCATCTATACAAGGAAGATGTCTAGATAGTATTTTGTCCTTTTGAAATTTCTCCTTGAAAAACTTTAAGTAAGTTGAATGTCTTTTGATAAATGTTAGAAATGTGAGGATCAAATGGCTATTTCAAGTAGTGACATTCCTTTAAATAAACAACATTAATTTATTAATTTAAGAAATATCTGGGCCTGGAGGGTGTCTCAGCCATTAAAGACTGGACTAATAACCAAAAATTTTTTAAAAAAATATCAGTTAGGCATCATTTAGTTTTATGACAACTGTCCAAGTGTAGGATCACACAATGAAAAAGTTTGTCTCTTTCCCCCAAAGTTATCTGGAAGTGATTAAATGTGAGATGACATTTCTTACTTGTGTGATTTTTCCATTGGATTACCACAAGGCCCATTCTGACAATGTAAAAAACTTAGAAATGTCATGGAATGGCATTCCCAGGTAAGGCAACATACAAGGTGCAAATGTGTCATCACAACCATTCTTTGGAATTACAAAAGCACTGCCCAATATCCACCAGGTGTCAGACAAAACAAAAGAGTTAAGACTGCCACTCAATCACTGACTTTTGAGAATTTAGGTCAACAATTTTCTGAGGTTAGAAAATTGCCTGAAAAGGAGGTTGGGGGTGTGTGCACCTATCTAACACATACACATTTCCTGTTTAACTCTCGGCTCACATTTATCCTTTCACTGTGACCTTAACCTTTCCTAACTTAAGAAATTAAGATTCATCCACTCCAGGGACTCAGAAGATGAACTCTTTCCCAGAACTAGTGATTGCACTCTTCTTAATGTTTGGTAAGTGGAAGGACATATGGAGCTTCTGTCTTGTTCTATGATATTAATATAAATTTTAAGGACAATTTTTCCTATGAGGCAGAATAGAGGTCATCACCAAGGCGACCTATACTGAATTGATATTAATTTATCCTTTTAGGAGAAAGCAATGGAGACTCAGTGACTCAGACAGAAGGCCAAGTGACACTCTCTGAAGGGACCTCTCTGACTGTGAACTGTTCCTATGAAACCAAACAGTACCCAGCCCTGCTCTGGTATGTGCAGTACCCAGGAGAAGGTCCACAGCTCCTCTTCAGAGTCTCGAAGGCCAACGATAAGGGAAGCAGCAGAGGGTTTGAAGCTACATATGATGAAGGATCCACTTCCTTTCACTTGCGGAAATCCTCAGTCCAAGAGTCAGATTCGGCTGTGTACTACTGTGCTTTGAGTGACACAGTAACAGAAACCACAGGGGGAGCTGAGCACAAACTCTGAGAAGCACAGGCCTGGCTGCTGAGTGTGTCTGAGATCACTCATTTACAGACCAGGGACAGATCTGCTATTATTGACACTCACCACACACTCAGGCACTGCTGCAGTGTAAACCATACAAATTAATTCTAAGAACACAGCAGTGAGAATGCCTTACTTTAGGCTTGATCAGAAAGAGTGAAACAGTCACACACATAGTGATTTTCTTTGTTTTTGTTTTTGTTTTGTATTGCCACTAGCCCAGGCTGGCCTTGTACTCCTTATGAAGCTGAGGCTGACTTTGAACTCCTGTTCTTCCGGCCTGCACCTCCAGTGGGCTTGAGTTACAGGCATGAACCATTACACTAGGCTGAATTTTTTATGTCTTAAATGCAAAATCTCTTGTTGAATGAAGCCATTTATGTATAAATCATCCCCTATAATTTCTAACCTCTGAACCTGGCTCATGACATTCACAGAATTATCATGATTTATGAGGCTGCACATACTCCATACCTTTCTAGTAAAGTGTACTAAGAAAGGGTTGACTTTTCTTTCTTCTCAGCATCTAATAACTTATTTGTGATTCATAAGGATTCTTATATTTGACTGTATTTAGAAGTAGAAGCTCCTAGTGGAGACAGTCTGTATCTTGTGGAAATATGTTCCTGACATTTTGATTTGGCTTTCTTCATTCTTTTGTCCAAAAATATATAATAGTCTGCTGCCTCTTTCTTATGTTTCTTATGTTTTTTTTCAGTGTAATATTTAAGTTGTTGTGATATGTATAAAGGAAAATGATGCTGAATCTTGGGTTGCTTTGGTCTTGGGGAGAAATGAACTAAGATGCTCTCAATTCTGTTAACAGGTCAAATGAAGAAAACTGAATTAAGCATTAAGAAAATTGGAGGTGACCTTGTTAGGAGAAAGAAACTTGGACTGTGGTGAACTTGTGATATAATACAGTCTAGAATTAGATAGAGTGGTATAGACAGCTATTCCAAAGAGAGATTTTGTCGTCCTTGAAGAAAATTGGTGATAAATGGATGAATATTTACATGTTAATGGGAGAAAATACTACTTCCTTCTATAGTGTATTACAAGAAACCAAAGGGTCCCCAGATTCAACATGTAACAACAAGTTGTGAAGCATGAAACATTTTTCAAAAATATATTCTATTTGGATGGTTGTGTGTGTGTGTGTGTGTGTGTGTGTGTGTGTGTGTGTGTGTGTGT